TTAATGTATTTTGTTTGCAGATGATACTACTTTTCTTTTTGTGGGTGAAAATGTTGTGCAAATGCTGAAGATGGCACAAACAGAATTTGTGAAAATACAAAATTGGTTTCAACCAAACAAATTATCTTTAAATGTTGATAAAACAAATTATATGATTTTTAGTAATAACAAGAAAGTGCTTGATACTCCATTTAGAGTCGATGGAATTGAAATTAATAGAGTCAATGAGGTGAAATTTCTGGGTGTCATCATTGATGAAAAACTAACATGGAGATCTCACGTAAAAAACTTAAGAACTAAAATAGCTAAATCGATCGCAGTAATGTACAAAGTTAGAGAGTTATTCAATGATAAAGCAATGTTTCTATTGTATAATGCCATTATTGTTCCACATTTAATTTACGTATTGAAGTCTGGGGTAAAGCATGTAAAACAATTACAAATCCAATTTTTATTTTACAGAAAAGAGCCATAAGAATTATTACCAGAAAAGATTATAACCATCCGTCAAATATATTGTTTCATCAGCTAAAGATATTAAAATTTTATGACTTGGTTGATTACAATATCTTACTGTTTATGTATGGGGCCAACAAAAACATACTAGCTACTAACATTCAAGGGAAATTTGTTAAAAGAGAAAGTAATTATTATCTTAAGGGGATGGAGATGTTTGTGAAGCCGTGGTGTCGCACCAGTCTGAAGATGTGATCCACTAGATCTCAGGGTATTAGACTGTGGAATGATCTGGAGGTTGATATTAAAAATGCCAAAACTATGTACATATTCAAAAAGATGATAAAAATTTGTTTTTTTTTAAATATTAAGTATAATGTGAGTTCATAAAAATTGTTTACAGTTGATCTTATATTTTAGCTAAGTTTTTATTTTATTATTTTTTATTGTTTTATTAATTCATCTTGCTTTTGTATAGTAATTTTGTTTGGAATATATTTTGGGGACAAGGGGCAGATATTATAAGAACTCATTCTTCTTCTGCTGCCTTTCATTTTATTTCTGGGATTGTATATCTTTTTTCTTTTCTTTAAATTGTATTATATTTGTTGTTTGGTTGAAATGAAATGAATAAATAAAATATACATACATACATACAATTTGACCCAAAGGTAAACGCCCCTTGTCTGTGAAGCTGCTCTGCAGCTGCTCAGGGTGTACGCTCGAGTACGAAGTCTGAACCCTTTTCTTACAGTACACAAGTATGTATGCTTGAACGGACGTACACGGGAGTATACTGGGGGCTTTAGACTGCTGGTGGACAAACTGACCACACGTTTTCAGTCTGGTACTGTCTTTACTTACTCTGCTCAACCTGTTTTGTATTTTTAATTATTTTTTTCTATCCTTAACATGTGTGTGTGTGTGTGTGTGTGGGGGGGGGCTTGTCTTTCAGCTTTCAGGTACACCTGGACCTATATCTGGACCTACCATTCTGTGTTAGTTTGTCTCTCCTTTCTGTCCTCTCAAACCAGCTGATGAAAGCAGATGGCCGCTTGTCCTGAGCCTGGTTCTGCTGGAGGTTTCTTCCTTTTAAAAGTGAGTTTTTCCTTTCCACTGTTGCTACTGTGCTTGCTCAGGATGGGAGACTGCAACAAAGCCAAGATTCAACATGTCTGCTGGCCTCCTTAGATAGAGAACTTAACTAATTGGCTATGTATGTGAATGTTCCTGTAAAGTGACCTGAGACAACTTTGTTGTGTTTTGGCGCTTTATAAATAAACTGAATTGAATTGATCCAAGTAGAAATATCTAACAAGGTTAAGTCAGGTGCTCTGGATGCTTAATAAAGAATTATTTTCATTGGAAAAATACGCACCTCTGCATAACTTGCATTCCTGTCAGGTGAGCTTTTGTCTGAACTAGTTAATGTTAAAATGTTTCTCTGAAAAAACCCTAAAGAAGAAGAAAAGCACGAAAGTGCTGCCTAAAATGCCTTCAACAATAAATGAAAAAACAAATATTCAAATGTTCAGCCCGATCTGACAAACCACAGTCAGAAAAACAACTCTGCAGAAGAACACCAGGTTTCATTAGTCCAACAAAACTTGTGTTGTGTTACAACAAGCTACTTTTATGGTTTAATTTACAACTCAGAATATGATACATTTACAATTATAGACTATTTAAAATATCAAACAAATAATAAAGACCATTAGAGCAGTTAAAAAGCAGTAGATCAGTAAAAGCTTGCCTCAGGCTAAAAGTGAACGAAGAAAAAGTTTTGTTCAGATTTTTATAAAAAGATTTGTCAGGTCCTCTGGATGGATCCAGCCATTCATCCATCCATCCAGCCTCCTCTTCTTGTTCCGAAGTCGTGTCTCGGAAACAGCAGCTTGAGCAGGGAGGTCCAGACATCTCTTTTCACAACCACCTCTTCCAGCTCTTCTGGGAGGACCCCAAGGTTTTCCCTGGTCAATCGAGAGATGTAGTCTCTCCAGTGTGTTCTGGGTCTTTCCCAGGCTCTTCTCCCAGTCGGACATGCCTGAAGCACTTCCCTAGGGAGGAGCCCAGGGAGCATCCTTACCAGATACCCGAACCACCTCAAATGGCTCCTTTCAATGTGAGAGGGTGTGGTTCTACTCTGATTCTCTGCCAGATAACTGAACTTCCCATCCTATCTCTAAGGGACAGTCCAGCTTCCTTGAGGTGGAAACTCATTTCAATCACCTTATTCATGAGCTAATTCTTTCGGTCACTACCCAGAACTCATGACCATAGGTGAGGGAAGGAACATAGGCCGACTGGTAAACAGAAAGCTTTGCCTTACAGCTCAGCTCCCTCTTCGCCACAACAGACTGGTACAGAGTTTGCAATATTGCAGATGCTGCACCAATCCATCTGTCAATCTCACGCTCCATTCTTCCCTCACTTGTGAACAAAACCCCAAGATACTTGAACTCCTCCACTTGAAGCAGAACCTCACCCTCAATCAAAAGATAGTATTAGAACAACACCACTAGTTTGATCAAGAAAGCTCATCAGAGACTATACTTCCTCAGACGGCTGAGACGAGCTGGTCTGGGAAGCTCATTCATTCATTCAACCTTCATTTATACAGGTTAGTCTCATTGAGTCACAAGGACTCATTTACAAGAGAGACCTGTTTTAAACAAAAAAAAACATAAATGAGGTACACACAACAATAAACATTCAAATAAAAGGATATAAAATTTAAAGTATAAGAAGTGATATAAAAACATGCTACATTATAAAATGGTGTAAGATACTAAAAACAGGAACATGTCTGCTTTGATTTTTTGTATTGAACTTGGTAGTTGTTTACGCTGGGCTGAATTTTGTTCTTCGATTGAGGCACCATCAAAAATTGAGACAGCGAAAAGAGTAAGTTTGGCCGTTCTGAAGAAATGTAAAAGTTATAAGTATCTTGCCAGCTGTACATAGATTCTTGAATTTCCTCAGTTTGGAGAGTTCATGTCCAACAGGACATAAAAAAATATAAAATAAGCTCAGTCCTCACCTCCTTCTACAGGTGTGCAGTGGAGAGCATCCTGTGCTCCAGCATTAATGTGTGGCATGGAGGCTGCACAGCTGCAGAAAGAAAAGCTTTGCAGAGAGTGGTGAAGGCTGCACAGAAGATGTTGGAGTCAGCCTCCCCACCATCACAGACATCTACACCTCCAGATGCAGGAAGAGAGCCACCTGCATCATGAAGGACCACACTCACCCAGCACACAAAGTTTTTGCCCCACTCCCCTCTGGAAGGAGGTTAAGGAGGATTAAGTGTAGAACCACTAGACTGAGGAACAGCTTCTACCCTGAGACTGTTAGACTCATGAATCTCTAATCAGGATAATCAGTGTGAAAATCACATTATGTTGCTGCTGATCTGTTTCATGTTGATGTGTTCATGCGTGCTCATCTGCTCACACACTCATGCTCCTGTTGCTGTTCGACGTAATTTTTTTATGCTATTAGTGCTTAGTGTATAATTTAGTTGATGTTTTTCTTAGAAAATATCTTAGATCCTATTGGTTTTTTTCTTTTACATTTTATTGTTGGATGTAACTGGGACCCTGTGTAGAGAATCTCATTCTACCACATGAGATGCGAATGACAAATAAATTATAATAATAATAATAATGTCATCACAATGTCAGCACTGTATGTTTCCATACAATGGCAAAATTAGTCTCTGCATTTAACCCATCCACCACCAGGTGAATCTGAATATGCCGATATGTTAAAACTTATTTGGCCAATAACTGATACCTATATTTTATATACTTTCCTTTGTCAGAACATAGCCCACTTATTTAGGCTTATTTGCTACAAAAATTGTGTAACAGCTGTAAGAGCTGGTGACATATTTTCAGTAACAGCCATATGATATGCAAAGCACTTTAACTTTTATTAAATGAAAAGTGTTATTAGAGATGCACCGATCCACTTTTATTTTTAACTTCCGATACTGATACCTAAAGCTAAGTATCGGCCGATACCAATCCAGTTCCGATATCATCATCATTATCTATTTTACATGAGGCTGTAATTATCTCCTCTCAAGTACAATTTGTACAAATATATGCATGCATGTCCAAAAAGGCAACTTGAGGTAAGTTTTATAAATGTTGGATAAGTTGTAAAGTTAGAATTAAATTTTGCTAACACAAAACATGTTTTTTTTCCTAGCATTAAAGTGGATATTAAAGTGATTAATTTAAGTGATTGCTTAAAGCTATTTTATACTTTTTTAAATAAGGGGCAGATATAATAATTTTTTTTCTTCTTTCTGCACTCTTTTCATTCAATATTTTCTTTTTGATGATTTTTTTTAATTTTGTTTCTTTTAAATCAATTAAATTTAATTAAATGTTAAATGGCTTCAAACACCCGCTAAGTTCATGGCATAAACCAACAGACATGTTCCTGTTTTTAGTATTTTACATCACTTTATAATGTAGCTGTTTTTTAAACTATTTTCTCTACTAACAAGTCATCTGCTTCTACTTGGACCATCTTTGTGGAGACATTGGAAAAATATTTGAATCAAAATGTTGTTTCCAAACATTTATTACATCTTAAAACAGTGATAAAGATTGTATTTGAGTCCATTTTGTCCTCGATGGCTTGGTTCGATTCTAGAAGTATTTCTTAAAGGAGGGTGTCGATGCGACTGTCTACATTTAAAGAGTCCCCAAGGTCAAACAGCTGGTCAAGGTTGACGGTAGAGGTACACAGGAAGTCACCATGGCCCTGCACCTCCTGCTCCTCCTCAGGCAAGGGCATCTCCAGGAAAGCCGTGGCAAGGAAAGTCTCCTCATCAAAGTCAGACATGTTGCTGTTTCTTCGATCCTCCATTCCTGCGAGGGCTTCAGACAGAGGGACATGGCTCCCCCTCACCGTCGCCTCCTCAGCCTTCATAATTGGGCTGAGAAGTTCCCCTCCATCCAGACTCAGGCCTCCACCCAAGGCTGAGTCCAGCAGGTAGTCCCAGTCGAAGTGGCCTTTCAAAGTTCCAACCTCCTTCTGTTCATCCACACACAAGAGAGGGGAGCTGGAATGTTGCAGAGCTTTAATGGTGCCATTTTTGGAAGCCAACAGCTGTTTCCTCTTGTGTCCACCTCGCCCCCTGACCATTGGCCAAGACTCCAGTATGGTCCCTTTGGCCAGATGGGGGTCCCAGTTCTGACTGTCTCCAGTCACCTCCTCAAACACTCGAAAGAGCTGCTGGGAATCCAGGTTGGGGCACAGGCCAACAGGCCCCCCTGCAGAAGAAACAGACTGTGGCTGCCAGCAGACTCTGAGGTGGTTCTGCAGGGCTGGGTTGATCTGGACTGGAGGCATCCGTCTTTTCTTGTAGGCGCCGCTGAGGAGGCGCTCGGCGTACTGTGGGTCAATCTTCCAGAAACCCCCCTTTCCTGGCTCGTCTTTCTGCCGCGGCACCTTGATGAAGCACTTGTTGAGTGAGAGGTTGTGTCTGATGGAGTTCTGAAAGAATAAAACCGGGTTATTGGACTTCATACAAACATCTGAAACCAGCCTGAACAGGAAGTGCTACAGCTCTGTGTGTATTCATCCAGTCCTCCTCACTGAAAGCCCAGCAGAGAGGTGACACCGTGACCTTCATTAACCATTACCTACCCCACGTAGAGCTGTACAAAAACAGAAAGTTCTGAAGAGTCTGAACCGATCTGGCTCACAGCTTCATCAATCATTCACAAACTAAATTAAACTATGGTGGAAAATTCCAGCTGCTTGGTCCCCGTCACTAATTTGATCTCAATAAGAATGAAGCCAGAAAGGAAAAGGGCATGCTGTTTTAATCCCTCAGATTAAAACAGATTATCTCAAACAGAAACTAATCCAGCTAGGATTGAGTAATCGCTCAGATTCAAACTGATTATCTCAAACAGAAACTAATCTAGCTGGAACTGCGTAATCCCTCAGATTCAAACAGATTAAATCAAACAGAAACTAATCCAGCTGGGATTGAGTAATAATGCAGATTAAAACAGATTATCTCAAACATAAATTATTCCAACTGGGATTGAGTAATACCTAAGAATAAATCACATTATCTCAAACAGAAACTAATCCATATGGGAGTGAGTAATCCCTCAGATTAAAACTGATTATCTCAAACAGATATTAATCCAACTAGGATTGAGTAATCTCTCAGATTCAAACAGATCATCTCAAACAGGAACTAATACAGCTGGGATTGAGTAATACCTCTGATTAAAACAGATCTCAAACAGAAACAAAACCAGCTGGGATTGAGTAATCCTTCAGATGAAAACAGATAATCTCAAACAGAAACTAATCCAGCTGGAATTGAGTAATACTTCACATTAAAACTGATTATCTCAAACAGAAATTAATCCAGCTTGGAATAAGTAATCCCTCAGATTCAAATAGATTATCTCAAACAGAAACTAATCCAGTTGGGATTGAGTAATAATGCAGATTAAAACAGATTATCTCAAACATAAACTAATCCAACTGGGACTGAGTAATTACTCGGATTAAAGCTGATTATCTCAAACAGAAACAAATGCAACTGGGATTAAATAATCCCTCAGATTAAAACAGGTTATTCCTAACAGGAACTAATCCAGATGAGATTGAGTAGTCCCTCAGATTAAAACAGATTATCTAAAACAGAAACTAATCCAGCTGGGATTAAGTAATATCTCTGATTAAAATGGAAATCAAACAGAAACTAATCCAGCTAGGATTGAGAAATCGCTCAAATTCAAACTGATTATCTCAATCAGAAACTAATCTAGTTTGGGCTGAGTAATCCCTCAGATTCAAACAGATTAAATCAAACAGAAACTAATCCAGCTGGGATTGAGTAATAATGCAGATTAAAACAGATTATCTCAAACATAAATAAATCCAACTGGGATTGAGTAATACCTCAGAATAAAGCACATTATCTCAAACAGAAATTAATCCAGCTGGGATTGAGTAATCCCTCAGATTAAAACTGATTATCTCAAACAGAAATTTATCCAACTAGGATTGAGTAATCGCTCAGATTCAAACATATCATCTCAAACAGGAACTAATCCAGATGAGATTGAGTAATCCTTTTGATTAAAACAGATGATCTCAAACATAAATTAATCCAACTGGGATTGAGTAATAAATCAGATTAAAGCTGATTATCTCAAACAGAAACTAATGCAGCTGGGATTGAGTAGTCCCTCAGATTAAAACAGATAATCTCAAACAGAAACTAATCCAGCTGGAATTGAGTAATACTTCACATTAAAACTGATTATCTCAAACAGAAATTAATCCAGCTGGGAATAAGTAATCCCTCAGATTCAAACAGATCATCTCAAATATGAACAATTCCAGTTGGGATTGAGTAATACTTCAGATTAAAACAAATTATCTCAAACATAAACTAATCCAGCTGGGACTGAGTACTACCTCTGATTAAAGCAAATCTCAAACAGAAACTAATGCAGCTGGGATTGCGTAATCCTTCTGATTAAAACAGATTGTCTCAAACAGAATCTAATCCAGCTGCGATAAAGCAATCCCTCAGATTCAAAATGACTGTCTCAAACAGAACCTAATCCAGCTAGGATTCAGTAATCCCTCAGATTAAAACTGACTTTCTCAAATAGAAACTAACCCAGCTGATGTGAATAAAAATAATGTGAATAACAATAAAAATCCTTGAATCCTTGACTACTGTGTGTGTGTGTGTTCTTGTACCTGCCAGGTAGGGTCTGCGTGTCTGTAGTAGCAGAAGTTTTCAGTGATCCACTTGTAGATGCAGGACAGAGTTATTTTGCTCTTCTTGCTTGCCTGAATAAAAAATCAAAAACAGAAAAAGTCAGAAAGGGAAAATGAAAGAAATAAAATAAAGTAAAATATAGTGAAATAAAGTGGCTAAAGGAACATAACTTTACCTGCATGGCCATGCAGATGAGGGTGGCGTAAGAATATGGTGGCTTGACGTGCGCATTGGTCTTGTAGTCCACCTCGTCGGGACAGTGTCCCCGCGCCACCAAACCCGACAGCCTGCTGTAGGCTGCCGCTGTGGGTTTCCCAGGGGTCAAGACCATACCAATGGAGGCAGGGTCTCCAGCCAGGGGGGAGGCTGGGGCATCAGGTCCCAGTTGCTGCTGGTGGCTGAATAGCTGCTGCGAAACCTGGGACGGACCCAGGATGGAGAACTCCTGCAGCCACTGTAGGCTGGTAAGGCTGTCATCCAGACCGTCATTGAAGCTGCAGGTTCCAGTGTCCCGCTGCCCGGCTGCAGCCGTCACCACCTCCTTCTCCTCCAGAACCTCCAAACCCTCGGGCCAGGGCTCAGCACAGTTTAGAGACAGCATGGCTCCCTCCTGGATGTCTCACCGTGTCCCCCTGCCACTGTGGGACAACATGGACTCAACTCAGAACCAAAAGTTGTTCATGAAGGGCTGAGAAATGGTCTGAAAGCTTCTCATGAGCTGCAGGTTCCAGACGTTTAATAAAAAAAAATTGATGAGCTGATATCCTGGTTTTATAGGAAAAAACTTATTCCACATTAAAATCATGTAATTATTATCATAATGTTATTATCATGTAATTATTATCATGTTATTATCATGTAATTATGATCATAATGTTATTATAATGTATTTATTATCATAATGTTATTATCGTGTAATTATGATCATAATGTTATTATGGGGGCCGAGATGGTGTAGGGGCAGGACAGCCGACCCAGGACCCGAAAGTCCTGGGCTCGATCCCCGGTCATTGCACACCTCGTGGTGTCTCTGAGCAGGACACCTTATCTTCATTAGCTCCCCCGGTGCTCAAATAGCTGGTCACTGCTACACCTGGTGGTGGATGGGTTAAAAGCAGAGAGCCAATTTTGTTTTTGTATGGGAACATACAATGACAACACATAACACATTATTATTATTATTGTTGTTATTAGCATGTAATTATGAACATAATTACATGATATTATGATATTATTACACAATAATGGCAGCTCAATGGCTCAGTGGTTAGCACTGTTGCCTCACAGTAAGAAGGTTCTGGGTTTAATCCCCGGTTGGACCTGGGGTCTTTCTGTGTGGAGTTTGCATGTTCTACTTGTGCTTGCGTGAGTTTTCTCCAGGTGCTCTGGTTTCCTTCCACAGACATGTATGTTAGGCTGCCTTCAGGCCCAGGCCTCCCTTGCAAAAGAGATCTGTGATCTCAGTGGGCATTGCCTGGTTAAATAAAGGTTAATAAAATAATGTTATAAAAATGAAATTATGAAATTATGATTATAATGTATTAACATGTCATTATGATCATAATGTTATAATAATAATATTATGTTCATAATGTTGTTATCATGTAATTATGATCATGTTATCATGTACTTATGATCATGTTATTATCATCTAATTAGGATCATAATGTTATCATGTAATTATGATCATGTCATCATGTAATTATTACCATAATGTTATTATCATCTAATTATGTTCAAATTGTTACTATCATGTAATTATGGTCATAATGTTATTATCATGGGGAGCTGAATTACATTTCTTGAAAAACTGCTCTGGATTCTGACATCATCATCCCAACATATGAAGGTCCAACACAAGAAAGTTCTGATAAAACCGTTTAATTAGAATTAATTTGTGGTTATTGTCAGAGTATTCACACATTCAGACCTTTTCAATCAGCAACATAATAATTTTATTTTATTTAACAAGGATCACAAACTCACCTTTTATCAGTGAAATGGAGCAGAGATCCGTTTAAATCCAAACAGAACCTTTTGGACCTCTCTGCTGTCTGACTGGACATGAGAGGACCTCCTGGTTCTGGATTCCTGTGTCCTGGAGAAGAGTGTGGAGTTTCAGCTCCTCTGGGGAGTCTTGTAAGAGGTGGGGGTAGGGGTGGTGGGGGTGGGGGTGGGGGGGTGGCAGTTTAATACCTGGAGCAGGAGGTTTGTCCAGTAACTACAGCAACGGTACTCCCCCTGTAAACAGCTTCCTGCTTCCTGATTGGCCAGCTGGTTTCCATGGAGCTACATTTTACCCTCGAGTCAACCGAGTTCATAAATGTTCCTGTTTTTAGTTTTCTACATTCGCCTTAGAATCTAGCTGTTTTTTTTTGTTACCTTTTTCTTTTAGCCATCCTTTGTTTAAAAAAAACTGTAGTAAGTAAGTAAGTAAAGTTTATTTATAAAGCGCTTATCACAGACATAAAATCACAAAGCGCTGTACATAAAATCAGACATAAAATCACAAAGTGCTGTACAAAAAAAAAATCAATGCTAAAATATACAAAGAATAAAACAAGCCTAAGAACTACAAGAAGCACAGTAAAATCATGACATAAAAGCCTGGGAGAATAAAAGTGTTTTCAGCTGCTTTTTAAAAACCTCAACAGAGGCAGCAGAACGAAGTTGCAGTGGCAAACTGTTCCACAGTCTTGGAGCCACTGACTGAAAGGCCCTGTCCCCTTTAGTTTTCAGCTGCATATGTGGAACATCCAAGAGGTTCTGTGACTGGGAGCGAAGACCACGAGCAGCACAGTATTTGGTCAAAAGCTGACAAAGATACATAGGAGCCTGGCCATTTAAAGCTCTGTACATCAGCAGAAGAACTTTAAAACGGATTCTAAACTCGACTGGGAGCCAGTGTAGTGAATATAGGACCGGGGTGATGTGACAGTATTTGCTGGATTTGGTGAGAAGTCTGGCAGCTGCGTTCTGAATTACTTGTAGACGTGAAACAGAAGACTTGTCCAGGCAGGTAAAAAGGGCATTACAGTAGTCCAGACGTGATGACACAAAAGCGTGAATAATTTTCTCTAGATCAGTTCTGGAGACCATAGGTCGTATTTTAGAAATGTTTCTTAAATGAAAGAAACAAGAACGGGAAATAGCTTTAATGTGAGACTCAAAGCCTAATGATGAGTCAGTCAGAGTCAGAGTTTCTTTATTGTCATTCGCACCTCATGTGGTACATGTGGTGGAGCGAAATTATGTACACGGGGTCCCAGTTACATCCGACAATAAAATGTATAAGAAAAACAGTAATAACATCTAAGATATGAACTAAGAAAAACATCAACTAAATATACACTAAGCACTCATAACATAAAACATTGAACATCAGCACAAACATGAACATGAGTCTGTGAGCAGATGTGCACGCATGAACACATCAACATTGAAACAGATCAGCAGCAACATGATATGGTTTTTCAAAGTGATTATTCTAGTTAGAGATTCATGAGTCTAACAGCCTCAGGGTAGAAGCTGTTCCTCAGTCTAGTGGTTCTACACTTAATGCTCCTTAACCTCCTTCCTGAGGGGAGTGGGGCAAAAAGTGTGTGTGCTGGGTGGGTGGGGTCCTTCATGATGCAGGTGGCCCTCTTCCTGCATCTGGAGGTGTAGATGTCTGTGATGGTGGGGAGACTGATTCCGACAGATTTCTGTGCAGCCTTCACCACTCTCTGCAAAGCTTTTCTTTCTGCAGCTGTGCAGCCTCCATGCCACACATTGATGCTCGAGCACAGGATGCTCTCTACTGCACACCTGTAGAAGGAGGTGAGGACTGAGCTTCCCAGACCAGCTCGCCTCAGCCGTCCGAGGAAGTAGAGTCTCTGATGAGCTTTCTTGATCAGGCTGGTGGTGTTGTTGCTCCAGCTGAGGTTGTCATTCATGTGTACACCCAAGTACTTGTAGCCGGAGACCACTTCCACCGCAGATCCTCTTATGTTCAGGGGGTGTAGGTGTTTTTGTTCCTTCTGAAGTCCACAATCATCTCCTTTGTCTTCTTCACATTGATGCGAAGGTTATTCTCTCTGCACCAGCTCTCCAGGTGTTCCACCTCTTGCCTGTAGCTGGACTCATCATTGTTTGTGATGCATCCCACCACCGCTGTATCATCTGCAAACTTTACAATGTGACAGCCTGGATGGGTAGCTGCACAATCATACGTGAGCAGAGTAAACAGGAGGGGGCTCAACACACATCCCTGAGGAGAGCCAGTGCTGAGGGTTATGGTGGAGGAGGAGAGGTTGTGGATCCTCACTAACTGTGGTCTGTTTGTTAAAAAGTCTAGTACCCAGTTGCAGATGGAGGGGCTTAGTCCTAGT